CTAACCCTACTCGTTGGGGCTAAGCGCTTACCTCATTGACGCTACAGTTCTCCTAGCTGTTGCGTAGTCGAAACCTGGGCTGATACCTCAGCAACTATAATGGTTATGGACAGCACACAGAGCGCTTGGAAGTAAGCTTTCCATGTTTAGGTTTTGGATGGGGATCGGAACCCCTATCCAAAACCTAAAAAATCCGGTTTCGATTTAAGGAAACAAAATCCAGGAGCAACTTACCGAGGAGCAAGCATACATGAGCTGGTCATATTTTAAAAGGAAGACGATAGGTACAAGAAGTACGTTGGTGTTGATTTCAAGAACGTCAAAACGTCCACGTGGAAGACCACCAAAGAAATGATTTGTCGTATCACTGCCTGCGTAAACCAAATGGATTGTGGAGGTTTTTTTTCGATAAACCTTAGCTCCTGAGCAGCGGTCTATCGAAAAGTTCAATATCCTGGGATTTCACTAAATTTACTAAAACCCCCTCTTTAGCAGTGCCATAGATTATCCTCGGTAAGATTTTACAGCATTCCATCAAGGATTTTCACATCTTTCAATATTGTCCAACTTCGATTGTTTATTAGTCTTGGCATCGATAGTTGTTATATGTTTTGAATCATAAGAATCTAAATGAACCGAAAGAAAGAGTGCATAGCCATTACCAATGAACTCGCGCCAATGAACGTATGAATACCTCTGTGGGTTTTGATATGAGGTCAGGTCACCCGAGCACTATAAATAGAGGAGGAGGTAAAGTCTGAGTATGTGGTGGTCTAGTATATCATCACACTTACCGGAGGTGGCCTTAATTATCCGGATCTCTTTTTGCCTTTTGACTTTCGTCAGCTAGGATTTTGGCGTATATGAGAATGCTTCACTTATGTTTTGAACTTTCTAGGCCTTGACGAAGGCGATCCCGCCGAAACGTTGGCCGTGAATAAAGTGTAGTCGATATTTTGGTCTACGCTTAATAAGCTCAAGCGATTTTCACATTTTGTATGAATGTTTGTACGCAATAAATCAGGGTACAAGAATCATTATAGGCAGAGAAGGACGATTACAGATATCTAAAATAGTGAAATATGATGCTCCCTTTCACAAAAAAAGGAGGGTTGGACGAAGTGAAATGGATTGCGTGTATTAAATTTCTTGTAGAGCTTGAAAGGCTGTTTCCAAATTTGCTTTCGTTATCTGCTGCGGGCTTCTAAGAGAGGAGTTATTGAAGGTTTTTGTGATAAAAAGAAAATGCAAGATTAGTGTAAAATCGTAACATTTTTCTAGGGCTTAACTAATACCAAGTCACTCGGTGCAATGAATATTCTAAATTCAAATATATCAACTCGCTGCTGCCTCTTTTGAACGTCAGGAAAAAGTTACGACCAGGGTCAAGCTTGTGATGCGACTGTCGCAACGGGGGGTCGTAAAGAGGGTACTTAAGGTGGGGGAGGGGGGGGGGAGGAGGTAGTTAGGCTAAAATACCCTAAGCTTAAAAGGGAATCAAAAAGCAGATAATTAGTCATGTTCTTTACAATAAATCTATAAGAAAGTGGAAATCAAAATAAAAAAGATAAAAAATCGTATTCCAAAAAAAATTGAAGGATGTACGATTTGATAAAAATGCTAAGTACCGATTGCCCTAGAAATCTTGCTTCTGAAGCTTTCCTGAAGTCTCACATACTCGAATATCTTTACCAGCTGTAACCATCATGAATTTCTAAATTTTTTTTGTAGTGTTTTCACGGGCCCATATGATTTATCTGTACTTTGGAGAATGCTCTGCTGTATCAGTGCAAAATTTAGTGTTATTTTGTCAAATGTGGATTTTCTTGTGATTTTATGTATGGTAGCAAAAAATGAGAAAGGCGGGTCGTATCTTTGTCTCATCTAAATTTCTCCGGAGCTACTGAAGCTTGTGCTGCAAACTTGCTGTAATACGAGACCATCCCTCTACTTTTTATCGTAAGAATTTCAGGCTGTTTTTAACTTGTCCGGTGAGATACAAAGTTTCACGCTCAAAAATCCCACTTTTTGCTCTTTAGGATCGATCCAAATTGCGAGAGTCGCATCTAGATTTTTTCGAGCTCACTGCTCCTCAATGGCTGAAACTTTTTATGGATAGTACGGGCATTATACTACAAAGCTCGTTCATCGCAGCCTCTCAGTCTTTCTCTGCCTTTAGTTACGAATTTTAGAAATACCGTGCTCATGCACGTTTTTGATATCGTTCTGGATGGCGCTAAAACACTTTTTTTGCACGAAAATCTGTGCAAGAGGTAGGAAGTAAGCCTTTTGGTCGAAAACATTCTTTAAGCTTCGAAGATATCGTTTTTTCTCCCTTTAAAAAAATGGTGTCGCGTACGGTGACCGAATTTGCTGGCCAGAAGTATGCTTGTAAATCAAAAAAAAATTTGCAGAAACCCAAACATTATTGAAGGTGTGTATGTGTGCCAGAGATGTTGCACGTACCCCTTGGCTCAGAAATTCTGCTTACGAAGCCCCACTGAAGTCTCACACATTCAACAAAATCTCATATCTTTACCAACGGTGACCGTCAATAATTTGTAAATCTTAGAGTAAAGCCTAATTATCATTCAGATCGTAATCGATGTTCTGCTTTGTCGGACAATGCTCTTTCCATTCATATTTTCCCAACAATAAGCATAGCCAAATCTTCGTGGAATTTTACTACTTACCCAATCTACGCAGAATTATTTGTTGGTTTTTGAATAGCGAAGCATTACTTGCATTAGTTCCCAATTTGTAAGTTATTATGTATTTTTCTGATCTATAATTTTGCTTGAGGTCCATGTCCATTGGCAGGCATCTTTTGAGATTGACATTCATTTATGCAGGTTACCGTAAAAGAAAGTGGGAGAGTTCGTGGGGGGGGAGTAAGGAGGAGGGTCGTACGGAGTACCTTCAGGGGGGGGGGGTCGTAGAAGAGGGTCTAGCAAATGTAAACTGGAGTCAGCGTCCCAAGTTCTACAAGGCAGTATACATTTCATTTCACAAGGCCACTCCAACCAACCTTCCTTCGTTGTCAGATCCCTCTCCCTCCCCAGGGGGAATGCACGTGCATACGGGCCTAAGTTTTCTGTGAATTTTTATGTTTTCGGCGTTGTTTTTTTTAATAAAGATAGGTTTTTTACGGGTTGTGCTGCGGAGATAAAACCATTGCAATCAACGCTGCCGTTCGTTCCGGAGCCCATCAGCCCATCGATGCCAATTACCTGTGCATTGGAGAGTCATCCAGCCTCTCAGGAGCGGGAAGTTTTCGGACAATAGCTTGCCACATCTTTTAATCACATTCCATTTTCCGCCCTGTTTCTACCAGCCCTTGTCCTTATACACCGTCAGTGGTACGTCGTTACCTGCGCGCTTTAAATGGGTCTGTGGTTTGCTGCTCTGCAGAGCTTGATTCTTAGAATTGGCTTTGAGCAAGATCGTCTTTGTGGGCGTATAGCGATTACCTGAAAGGTTCGTATGTGCCTCTCAAATCAAATGTATCAAGTGAGAAAGCTTGTCTTTAGTAACTCAGATCATCGAAAAGGCGGTGGAAACGGGCTGTCGTTAGCGAGTATTGAGCAGCAGTATCGCTTTTAGCACGTGAAGAGAGGGAGAGGGGGCAATAGGGAAAGGGGAGAGCTAAAGACAGCTTTTTTTGTAGGACAAGTTGATGACTGAGAGCAATTAATTTTAACAAAAGACGTCCGCTTTCTTTTTAACGAGCGTGATCAGTATTTAACTCTGTATAACTAACTTCTGTATTCGCATTCTTTTAGCCATTCAACTGTAGTAGGAAAGGGCAAACATAACATTGCATCTTTTTCTTCTGCTTTGTCTTGGAAAAACGTCGTAAGATGATCCACGAAAATTTGTTGACATCGGAATTTACAAAAGATAAAGCTATGTGCCCAGGTCTGGGATGTAGTCTACGTCTCTCCTGTCTGCTACTCATTTAGCCAAAGTTTTCATAATGAGAAATATCTACTCCCTTCTTGCTTTCATTATGCACCCGTTAGATGCACACATGAAAAGAACAAGTGGGTGGTTTTTTGGTCTTGCCAAAACTCCGTGCTTTGGCTTGAGCGTGAACGACCAAAGTGAAACCGTCTGTAGCAATGACCGATGATTTCCGTACTATTGCGATACGTGTCATAGCACCTACCTGATAAATGTTTTTTCAGACAATTAAAGGCAATCGATATGGTACGTGTAGTCATCTTCTTGTAGCATTCTGTAACCATTAAAAACAGGGCCCCATTTGTTAGAATGTATTTTAATCGAATCCCTTTTTAAAAAACACTAGACATTGTGATCTGTTGCTGATGAGCAAAGTGAATGTGTAAACTCTAGTGGCAGATGATGATTATATCAACCTAGAGATATTCAGGATTTTGCGCAAAGAGTTGAGGAACACTTTCGCATACAAGTGCCAAACTGTATATAGAAGGTGACAGGTGAGAAAATTAGGCATACAATTTGGCCACACCCTACCATTACCAACTCTGCAACAAGTGTAAGGCGAGAGGCGTCACACATGAGCCCAGTAGGACTATGAATCCTTACAATATTTAGAACCAGCTACGGTGTCTTTGCTCATTGTTGACTCATCCTAACGCACGAACAAGTTCTTGTCTAGCTTTTTCTCCTCCATGGCATTTAGCTGAAACAGGTTTTTCTGTGTATCTATGTTTTAGTATTTGTCATGCATTGAGACAGGAGCTGGTTGTGTTGTAATTTGAAAGGATACAGTTTATTTATAGCATAGTCTACATTGTCTTGCTTTCTTGCAACATCAACAGCAACATCTCACTGAAGCTTGAGTTCTTCTTCGAGAAGAGCATGCAAAGAATGTATAAAGAGGAATGAAGTGACTGATAAGCTTCCTTACAACAAATAACTTCAGACGGAATACTTATCGCTTAACAACCAGAAAAATGGCAACTGAATGTTACAGATACACTGTAGGGGATATCACAATGGCTAAAGCGAAATAATTACTCATATGGATTAGCAGGTGGTGTCGATTCGGTTGCATTGCTGAGAGCAGTAGTTTCGGAATAAGCAGAAGGAGGAGTGCTTCCCGGTGCACCGTAAGAAGTAGTCTCAGGTGCAGTAGAGGAAACCGCTTCGGATGCTGTGGTGGACATATGTTCGGCTGCTGTGGAGGACAAATTTTCGGATGCTGTGGAGGACAAATTTTCAGATGTTGTGGAGGACAAGCCTTCGGATGCTGTGGAGGACAAAACTTCGGATGCTGTGGAGGACAAGCCTTCGGATGCTGTGGAGGACAAGCTTTCGGATGCTGTGGACGTTACTTCATACACGGGAGTATGAGAACTTGCTTCGGAAGCGGAAGGACTAGTTCCAGGTGCAGCAGGTGTGGTAGTCTCGGGAGTAGATGGAGGAGCAATGAACAGAGGAATGGTACGTGGTGGACAGGGACAATAATGTCCATCGGGTCCTGGAGGTCCCTGTTCACCGCGCTTGCCATCTTTGCCATCAGGTCCAGGGGGACCTTGGCGACCTGGTTTACCCATTTCACCTGGTGGCCCGGTTTCTCCCGGAGGGCCCGGTTTTCCATCCGGTCCTGGCTTTCCCGCTGGTCCCGCACAGCCAGCTGGTCCAGGAGGTCCTGGCTTACCCTTAGTTCTCTTTAAGGCTGATTTACCCGGCGGGCCAGGTGGTCCATCAGGTCCACGCTCACCAATCTCGCCTATGTCGCCACTTGGGCCTGGAGGTCCCTCAGGTCCTGGCTTGCCTTGTTCACCGTCTCTTCCGGGCATTCCAGCTGGACCTTTGCATCCAGGTGGTCCATCTGGTCCAGGCGGCCCTGGAGGCCCTGGAGGGCATTTGATGCACTCCTTTTGGGGTTCTGGAGTAGGGCATTCGGGTGGTGGTTCATAATCTTTTCCGGGCGGTCCTTGTGGTCCAGGTTCGCCTGAAGCTACATCTATAAGAGACGAAGCGCGAAATGTTAACATAAATTTCCATTCAACATTATTTAGTTCTTTGCTTTAGTCATAGATGAACATCATTAGCGACGCAGTTTCGATATTATACTGTTTGACAGAGTAAATGAAAATATATCATATAAAAAGGGGCAAAGGCAAAGATTTTCTTAGTGTTGCTACATTTTCATCTGTTTGAAGCAGCTCGGCTAATGTCGTTATTTATAGCGATCAAAAAAATTTTCATTAAAATGCGAGGGCAAAATAGCTCTAGGCGGAATAAAAGCCTTTATGGCAAAGAAGGTTGAAAATATAACAAAAACAACTTTGTAATAATGGCATAAATGAACTTACCTTTCTCACCAGGCGGCCCAGCTGGCCCAGGTGGTCCAGGTGGGCATTTGGGCTCTATCGGTTCACATATGCAAAAGTCTGGTAATCCAGCGTAGATTGCGCTACGCCTTTTCACTCGAAATATCGACTTCAGCGCTTCAGATGCGGTTTGTACTCGTGGAGCTACGGCAAACTTTACTTCCATCACCCTGTTCCATGCCACATCGGTATCGACCCGAAATGATTGCACTGCACTGTTTACCTGGGAAAAGTCCTTTCTATCAAAACAAGTGCACCGGAACCGAGCAAAGAAGCAAAAAACTCACCATGGCATGAACATCGTTCATTTCGTTTACTAGATCAGGAAAAGTAATCAAGCAGGCGATAATTGCGAATAGAGAGCAGGTGACGGCCACACCCACAAGTATCCGTTCCTCATATTGTGATGACATCGTGGCTATGGCGACAAGCATTTGATTTTACTTCCTTTTATAGAACTCGGTGGCAGAGGACCGCCTAGATTTTGAGATGTTATCTATCGCACGTTCTCTCTATGTGTCATTTTATTTTTCTTCTACTGTTTTTGTAAACAGTTCTATGCTGGTATCGAGCCAACAGAGAATTACAATAAAGGAGGTCAGGCACTAACCGAGTTCTGGAAAAAGAGTTTGTAAAGCTAGACATTATAAAAAAAGAGCTAAGCGGGAGAATTACTCATTTAGTGAGCGAATTTGGTTTTTGATTATGTGATTATTCACCCTGTTGAACATCCAAAATGTGTAAGCAGAGCTGATTTCTGCAACCAGATACCCTCTTGACCTCCATCCCCCATCCTTTCTACCTCCTCCCTCCCCCACTTCCTACCCTTCTTTGAAACTTGCTTTACCCCTTTTCTTAAAGTTATGATGCGTAAGTTAAGTAATGCTCAAGCTGCAATATTCAGAAATATTGCATATACAAAAAATGAAAAACAGTTTCTTGCATCTAGGACCTCCTACTCTCGTTCCCTTATAAAATATTTTGCAATCCTCTTCGGTTCTATAAACAATTCTTAATTTTGTACATACGCTTCAATTTCATTGTTACTTAGCCAAAAAACCGAACGCATCCGATGGCCTGTGACCTGCAAAAGCGTATCTTTCTATCATCGTCACACTTAGTGTCAAATTTTTCTTCTAAACAAGTCGTAAAACTCATAAATCACTAGCGTGCTGAAAGAGCAGTGTTGCACTTTGTGAAAACATAAAACGGACGGTTACAATCACCCAATAGAGACGTAAGATGCATATCTTTGACTATAGAGTTTAGTCATGCCGCTCGCAATCATATTTGGATGCCTAATAAAGAGTCAAATACCTTTGGTTGGAACATCTGAGAACGCCTTGCACATGCATAATTTACAAACTGACACTATTCTTGCTAGTCTTGTACGTAGTAGTTACAAAAGAACAAATGCGAGCTTGTTAAGCAATGTGCATAACATCTTCATGTATCACCGAGTATCCCAGTTTCAGATTATTACGTAGCAATGCAGACATTTGATTCATGAACTCAATGAACTATTACGATACAGCATTTTTTTCGTACTCTATTTATAAAAAAACGCCACGCTTTGAGCCGACATTCCGCCTCTATCTGATTTCGAAGATTGGTGATTTTCGACCTGGATATAAATGCGCGGGCGACACGTCTTTACCTCTCATTTCGCCAGGCGAGATCCACCGCAGAGAATGTCGCGCGCAGCTGCGTTTCCACATGAATGTATACGAACAGTTAAGGTCGTTTGATTTGAAGCGCCTTACCCCATCGAAATGAACATTGAATGGGAAATCTTGAAAATAGATCAAGCGGCATTTCATATCTGCTACATGATTCTCCAAACGAAGCGTCGTTTGAATCCGCTACAAAGAGGTTTGGGAGCTGCTCAGAACTGAATCGCTTCTCGTAAGGAGCAGAAGCTTTATGCAGCGGTAAATGGTTGGACTTACAATCTGGAGGTCTAGGTTTGTTCGTTTCAACTCTTTTGTGTCGTTGTGTCTTTGACCATCTGTGTGGTTTTGTCTTTGACCATATGCGAAACTTTCGAGCCTTATTTGGAACAAAATATGTTATTGAAATTTAGTCACAGTCCTTTGATACAAAAGCATGCTGTCCTGATAGGAATAAGCTTCTTATGATTGACTAAGATTGAAGTTTTTTTGCTGTACTACTAGTGATGATGCTGTTCTTCGCAAACTGCGGTGGTAAATATACATCGGCTAGGCAAAACAACCTGTAGTAGCTATGATTTTAAATGTTTTGACCCTAAACTTTGTAAGCTAAAAGCCGAACCACTTGTGACCGCTCTGAGCTCAACCTTACAGGAATGCGAACCATGCGCAGTTTGTGCTTAGCTTAGATTTTAAATAGTCAAAAGCTTTTACTTTGTTTAGCTGTTTAACAAATATATTAGGTTGGCACATAAGTTTTGCAACTTTTCGCGTAATTTTTTTCTTATTTTATGTAACAATCTCATTCTGTGATATCATGTAGACCGTGATGTAAGCTGCAAGTGTGCGCAAACCGTTTGATTTTTGATAATGTAGTACAAAAAATGTAAGCATTTTTTGAAAACTGCTGAATTGAGGTTTCACGATTTTTTGGCAAATATGAAGCCCTACGAAACCTGATTCAAACATATGAAAAAGCAATTATAGGCAGCATGTAGCTGGAAGCTGACACATTGGAATCAGTGAAAAAGAAATGAAATTTAAACACAAGTTAAGCTGGGGCGCCTTTGAGAAATTGAACAAGTCAAATGCGTCAAGTTTTGAAGGCAATTTGTCAATAACTAAGCTGCGAAAAGTCAGAATCCTACAACTTTGCACTATAGGGTAATCCTATGCGGTAAACACGAATATCATATTCATTTGGCGCTAAAATGAAATTCATCTTTTGATCTCACGAACGAGGCATTTTCATGCGAAACGGATCTCATTTTTGTGATCAGCATGTCGAATAAGCCCTATAGGTCAAGTTTCAGCAAAATCTGATGCATTCTAAAATTTTTCCCATAGTATCGTAAATCTACCGTAATCCTTACATAACGCGGTAAAATTCGGCAAAAATGTGAGCATTAGAAGCTTACATCATAGTCCTTATATTGCCAAAAAATGAATGTGCTACGTTCAAAGAGACAAAAGTTATATAAAAAGTTGCATTACTTATGTGCCAACCTAATAGTACACGGTGCTATACTCGCTTTCTAAGTCCTCCTAACGATCAACGACTGTTATAACTAACTATTTCAAGTCAAGTATTTATTAGCTTTAAGACTACTTGCATCCTCAAATATACCTTGACTTTCATGATATATTCATAACGCTTAAGTCTTTCTAACAGTAGTCTTCAGGTATTTTCTTGAAGGCTAATGAATGCCAACCTTGGTGAGAACGTTAGGCGAGTGAACGAGTGCAATGGCTGTGGAGATTATTGCGTCCGTACTTGCTAATGCCTAAGTGAATGAGCGTCGTCTACTGAAAAAGAAGCCCAAAGACTTCTTCTGTCTTTTAGAATGAATTCATAGATGTAACATAATTCATTTTCGTGAGAAAAACGGGAAAAGCCAAAGAATCAGTATGCACCCTATTGCCTACATTTGCGCCCGAAAACTAGATTTTTTCGCATGCTGCGGCACGTGGAGTGCAGACTAGTGTAGTCTTGGGTAGATCCAGTCGCATTCTAGTAACTCAGAGCCATGCGATGGTATCAAAGTGATTGTCACCATCCGGAAAAAATTCAACTAGCGTGAAAGTCCTAGGAAGTGCCGCTGCTTGATGTACATGGATTGCAAAAGTCATCGCCAGAATCTTGACTCACTTATCATCAGCGTTCACTGGGGACCGTTCGCCTTTATGCAGTAGTCTAAGTCTAAGTGTACTTAATCATCACAGCAAATGACTCATAAATTAAATGTTGCAATACAAACTGCAAGAATTGAATGTGAGTTTTATTCATAGACCTAGAAAATGATGTGCCCTCGTTGATATGCGGTAATGAAGCTGCATTAAAGTTTCCCCATAATGTATCGCAGCGGTGCGAACCTCGCTGCTGAGTCTTAAGATTGGCCCAAAAGTTCAAGGATGATCAGTTAGGACTCTGTTAAAATGGTTTTTTCGGGAGATGTATATTGAAGATTCAGTGAAGAGGTCCAAGAAATCATGTACAGAGGAGAGATGACTTCTTCGTACATGAGATCAGCTCCATGATATGCAAATCCCATGGCAAAAAATTTATTACGTTATAAGTGAATTGTTCTTTAAGGCCTGAAACAAAAAATTTGGCTCGATGTATTTTGGCGCGCTATGCGAAATTATGTTGGAGCTTGTTGACGATTCCGTCAGACTTGTTGTAAGACTTCGTTCCTAGAGGATGTTTTAGGGTTACAAAAAGTATCAGTCAGAAGATGTTTTGAATAGTCAACAGAGGCTGTGTCTACTCGTGAAATTGCTCCTACCCCCGAGTTGGTTACTGGGAAACTTGAACTTAACGCTGCTTGCTGCGGCACGTAAATGCTGCGCTGGCAGTGGCCAAGACATGATGCAATTAGCTACACTGTGTTAGTTCATAGCCATAACTGTAATTTCAGAAAACCACATTATTTGCATAGTGTCGATGTTTGTTGATCCTAACCTACAATGAATTTGCAAAAGAGATGAAATTTGAAAAAAAGAGTGCAAAAACTGATAGCCGCCATCATAGCGAATGATAGTGGATGCACTAATTCAAATAACAAATCAAGAACAGTGCGTGGTTGTAAGATATGAAGTCACGCATTAGTGGAAGACAGGTCATTTGCACGGAAATGCCACTGCTCTCCTTGATTGATCATGAGACGATTATCAAAGCAAAGTTTACAACCAATAGCCATCTCTGCCAGTTTATGGATGCGCTATTCCACACACGGACAAGAAGAATTGAAGTTACCTTCTTCAGCTTGGCACTGTGACAGCACAGTTCCATTACTCGCTACTGAGAAGCACTGAATCTTCCTCATAAAGTGTAGCAAAATTTCTCCTTTTTCAACCGTCAAAGGCTTTCTTTGGCATTATGCTAGTGATAAAGAATAAACATTCTTAGCTTCCCCGAATGCTGCTAACAGTCTTGCAATCCGCCATGTACCCTTATTTCACGAGTACAAGACGTACCCTTTTCATTTCGGTTTCCAAGCAGCTCGGCCTCACCACGTGCCACTGTTCGTTCTTTCACACAGCTTTTTTAGTTAAGAAGCAGCACAGAAGAGGGTACTGGTCGCGAACCTTTGGTGTGTTCAGGCTGGTAGACTGTAGGAAAAAACAGGTGCGTTTTGTGTTCGTGAAATTAGGGTCAATCAGAAACTCTCGTGTTGTATCATGCTTCCTACAAACAACCAGATAAACCTTCAAGGGGTGGGGGAACGAAAGCCGCCAGGTCCAGCCGCCTTTCGCGGCCAGCTGGTCCTTTCGCAGCGCTGTTGCATGTCGTTCCAGGACCAGCAGT